TATATATATATATATATATATATATATACGGAAAAAAGAAAGTATTTGAAACGTTTCCTTTCCAGTAAGACGACAGCACTAAACACGCAGCCAGAGAACAATTGTTTAAATCGGAAAATAAAAGCATTTTCACATGTTAGCATGACAGAATCTACCCCCAGACTCAGAAACAACTCAGAATCTGTAGACGAAGACTCAGATTGAACCAGTTAATAAAGAAAAATGGGCACAAATTTCACTCTAGTGGTGCAAATACATACTATTAAGGCCTTACAGTAGAAAATGCAGCAAAGTATTGACATGTCATGCTCCTTTTTTATTTTTACTTAAAAAAAACATCCAGTATGCACGATACATAAAATAAATTCCAATAAATCACATTAAAGTTTGTGGCTATAAAATGAGTCTATGAAAAAACCTTAAAAGGCTTGCTGCTATAAGAACCCAGTTTCTGACACAATAGCAGCATGGATGCCAGAGATGGGGGATCTGGAGGCAACAGGTCATCTCTGTGTCATGTGTTTGGTCTGCCCAGTCACTGAACCAGGTGAGTCCAATCAGAGTGAATTAACCTGTGCAGATTGGACTCACCTACTTCAGTGGCTGGGCAGAACAAAAATAACAGAAATGACTTGTTGACTCCAGATCCCCCATCTCTGGTGGATGCTGTTACAAACATCACCTGACCTGGCCAGTGAAGGCTGCTCCACCCAGAGACTTGATGAAGTCAGCATACACCTGGTTGGCACGGACAATGACAGTGGCCACAGCATCCTGGTACTGTGGAGATGAGGTGGCCAGCAGAGGCAGCGCAGCCAGTGGGATGTGGTCCTGGCTGCTGGACAGACAGCCCTCATCATAGCTATAAGGGCTCAGGCTGCAGCAGAATGCAATAACAAAGAAAATAAAAGGAGAAGCAAAAGTAAATAAATCAGAGGAGATGGCATGAAGCATGATCTGCAATTTTATACCAGGTACACAGCCGCCAGAGACAACAAACACAAACCCTCAGTAAAAACGCCCACATCCAGCCTGCAGAAATAAATTTGTTCACAGGGTTCTTCTTACTTAGAGACTAGAGAGAAGGCCTCGGCACAGATGGCAGGGCAGGGCACCAAGCGGATGGCGATGTGTCCCAGCGCAGCAGGGTAGTGAACACGCATGACTGTGTCGAAAGCTGTACTGATGGTGTTGACGTCGGCCTGCTTGCTGTTCTGGTCTCCTCCGCCCGTATCCAGGATGTTCCCTCCATGCAGAACCAGAATCAGTACGTGGATCTTGGAAGGCTGAAGGCACTGCTGAGACGAGCTCTCCTGAGGGATGGGAGAGTTGTTATAAAGGTGATGAATAGGGAATGTTTGGAGAGATTGTTTAGTTTACTATCATGACCAAAGACAGAGGGCTTCCTTTGGCTACTAAAAAAACTTTCCCTCACTAATTTCCGTCGACATTCTTAGCAAGGCTGTCCAAACATATACCACAGAACAGACTTCTGTTTACAACCATAGAGGGGCAGAGGACCATGAGAGGGGGGAGACAGAGCGAGCCACCCTCCACCTGTATGACGACAATCATGCTTCTGGAGAATGTCACAATAAACTGCATGGAGTAATGTGTAGTTTTGTCTTCTGTGTTCGATCCAAAACTTCACATTGTCAGAGAACCACCAGAAACGTACACTCAATGCCACAACTGCAAGTACAAGCGAGTTCAACAAAGGGTGCTGGGGTCGAGGGGCACACATGGATCGGGTTTGGGCAATGGCGACGGAGAGGAAAAAAGGGGTGGGCAGTCAGTACTGGGTGGGTGTGGGCCTTCCTGTGGGACTTATTCTGCCCCAAAGTGCTATGGGGCTAAAATGTTTACTTACTGACTGGTGCCTTGTTACCGTGATGGTGGGAATGGGAGAGCTATCGGCTTGACCACTAAGAGAGTCACGCATCTGAACACAAGAGGACAGAAAGGCTCAGGGATCAACAGCCTTTCCCTTATCCTCCAAAGAGTAAAGTCTCATAAACCCAGATAAGCTAAAGGTAATTGCATTTTATTTTTTAGGCTACGAACGAGACCAACTTTAGAGCAGGATGTCAGTTGTGAGATTTTCCTTCCATTTTTGCCATTGTTTTTTTAAGAAAGTTCATTTTTTGACACAGAGCAACATCTGAAGAAACTGGTTAGGTCTGGTTTTTTCAACATGTGGACAAACTTACCTCATCCAGCCTCTCCTCACTCGCTGCTCTTTCATAATCAACGCTCATTTCCTTAAAGCTCTCTGAAAACACATCATTATCACACAGTTAAGCCAGAGAAGAGTTACTGTTGGGAAGGAAGAGTCTGTCAGTGCAGTTCTTCTTACCAGCCATTTCCTCTGTGTCTGCAGCTTCGATCTTGTCTATGAGGTCGTTGGAGTTCCATTTGGCGATTTCCTTTGGGAAAACCTCCTCACCATCTGAGAGATCCTCTAAACATGCACAATAAAAACAGAAAATAAACCAGGATTAGGTGATAAAAAAATGCAACTCTAAGGGTCATTTTTACAAATCAGCATTTCTCTCTCTCTCAATACCATATCATAGTCAAATATGTATAAATAAATATATACATTTAGGACTCATTCTTAGGGGTAAGTTATATGAACAGAATCCTATTACTACATTTTTTCTGCAGTAAATACGTCTATCTATTTTCCATCACGCTTTATCCCTACTGGTGCCTATCTCCAGCTGTCTACAGGAAAAAGGCAGGGTACACCATGGACAGGTCGCCAGTCCATTGCAGGGTAACACAGAGACAAACAGGACAAACAACCTTTCACGCACACACTCACACCTAAGGAGAATTTAGAGAAGCCAATTAACCTAACAGTCATGTTTTTGGACTATGGGAGGATAACGGTGTACCTGGAGAGAACCCACGCATGATCAGGGAGAACATGCAAACTCCGTGCAGAAAGACGACGGGCGAGAATTGAACCTGGAAACTTCTTGCTGGAAGGCAGCAGTGCTACCCACTCCTCCACTGAGCAGCCCGCAGTAAATAAAAAACGTGTTTAATTTTTTTTTTTTTTATTTAAAAATGTATTTCTAAAAAAAACTTGTTGCCACATTTCTGTTGCTACATATAATCACAGGCCCATAAGCGTAAGTAGTGCTCTAAAAATGCAGCTAGATTTTTACCAAATTGGTGAGAAGTGCAAGTGTTCGGCTTAAAGAAAGAGGTTCAGGTCTGTGTTAAACCACTGCTGTCCAAAAAACAAAATTTCTTTTCACCAGAAATTTTTATGTGCTTCATGCAAGCAGATTATATCGATATTGGCATAAAGAAGAAAACTGATGTAAAAATATGTGAAGAAAAATTTTCAATTTATGCATTATCAGCGTATTTTCAACAGTAACATCACAACATTTGTGGTTTAAGGTCTTGGGTACAAATTAGGGGGAGCACCAATTGCAGGTTTCGACTGTTTGCCAAATCCTCAAAAGGCCTGTCATGCCAATGCAGAGTTTGAAGGAAATCTACTTTTTTAATAACTTACACCGTCAGGAGTTATGGGGTTACAATTCAGCTGCAATGTTTTAATCTTATTTTACTTAAAACCATCAAACAATACCTAGGAGACAATAGAAATTTGCTTTAGCTGCACATGAGGCGGTGCTCTCAAATATAAAGTTTAGCTTTTTGAACGCGGCTTTTTTAGACATTTTTGGAGGTAAATAAGATCAATAGATAAGACCTGTTTTATATGTAAGCATTGCTTGATCACAACAACCCAGAAGTAATTAAACCAGGCCCGATCCAGTTTGTGCACCCCTTAATCCGAACAGGTTAATCTATGGGCACAAAATGGAAGTAAGAATGGGAGAAGATGGTTATGTATTGCCCTCAGTTAGCGTTTAAAAAATGTGTTATCACCCCTAAAGTGCATACCACTTTCTTTCAGAGGTTCTCCTCCTTGACTTTTTCTTATCACATTTGATAAAAAAATGCAATAAAATGTAGGGAACACTTTAAACGTTACCTTTAACCACTTTATTTGAAGCACCACTCACTGCAAGGGCTATAAAATGCATGTCAGGACAAGTATTGTTAAGAGAGAAGAATTATATTTGCAATCTCTCTCATGTCAAGAGGATATATATATACACACACACACACACACACTATGTATATATATAAAACATAAACATACACACACGTATATATATACACATACACACACTTACAGGTAAGAATGAAGATTTGAAAAGGAAAACAAATGTAATCCCATAACTTACCCTTATAAATGTATATCTGTAATGCTCTCATTTTATAACAATGAAAATTAACATAGAAAAGACCTCACTACCATAGCAAGCTAACAACAATGTAGAAAATCTATTCAAGAAAACCATTAATTCCAGAAAACCCACAGATGTTGGAGATCAACTGATAGTTTTATTAATAAGTTTAAGAAAGTATTTTCAAGTGTGCAAAAACAATCAGAGAGACAATATTTCTAAAAACAATCTGAGACAAAAATGGATTTTCACAGATGCAACACATTTGAGATGACTTCATGTGCAGGATCTTCTACGTAAATAATGTCAAAAACTCTTGTGTTGAAAACTTCTTGCATCATTCTGCATAATAAACATGGTCCTCCTTTCACATTTTCATTGCTAAGCTCCACTTTTCCTGAATTCACATTTTCAGATAGTATTTCTAGAAGTTTCTTTATAACAATCTGGACTTTTGAGTAAAAAAAAAAAGAAAT